CCACCCATCCACGTACTCATCCACCCACCCATCCACGTACCCATCCACCCACCCATCCATGCATCCCCCACCCATCCACTCATCCACTCTCTCCTGCCCATCCACCCACCCATCCATCAGGTGAGGACCACTCACAGACAGTCTGTGGCAATAACAGATGGCAAGCCACTGCTGGAGTTTCTCATTTTCAAGACCAAATATGCTTCCATCACATGACCCAGTAATTTCACTACCAGGCAATTCTCCAACACACAAAGCCTGACTGGAAGTCAGTTGTGAATAGAGATTCATGGCAGTGCCTAGCTACTGATCAGCTGCTTCAGAGTGAAGCCATGGCATCTGCACACAGCGATGTTCAGCCACGAAAGGAAGCAGGTAATAATAGAACTGTTTGTGTGGATTTAGAGATCTGTGTTAAACGAAAATTCCCCCAACTCCCCCCCCCCCATTTCCATATTACATGATTCTGTTTATACAACAACCTGGATAAGAGAAAATTCTGGAAATGGAAGGCAGGTGAGTAGGAGCCAGGGGTTAGGGTAGGATGGAGACAGGTGTAGCTACAGAAGAACAAGGGAAGGATTCTTGGGGCACCAGGAATGTAATGTCTGCATACACAGGGAAATAAGTATACACATGCACCAGTGCACACACACCAGCATATACACATACATGCACACACATATACCAGAGTATTGCAATAAGCACGCACACGCACACGCACACGCACACGCACACGCACACACACACACACACCTATACACCCTACCCACAGAGGTAATTATAGGATGGAGAGGCCTGAGAGAGGTGCTGTACCAGCATTGCTGCTCTGTGACATTACAGAGCATCACGGTTCTGCTGGAGGTCTCCATGTGGGAAACTGAGTAAAGGTCACATGGGTCCCTGTAGTGCTTCCTACAAATGTGCAGGAGTCTATAAGACCTCAAAATAGTAGGTGGATTTATTTGAAAATTCCCTTGTATCATGTTTCCACCACACAGCTCTTTCCTCGATGTTCCTGCTTCTCCCCGTCACCAGCATCACTGCAATAGGCAAGCAGGGCTCCACAGTACCCAGATGCACACTGCCCATGTAAATGCCCATCTGCCCAGTACCCAGGTGCACACTGCCCAACTGTGCGGTACCCCGCTCCACAGTATCCAGGTGCATAGTACCCAATGCGTGGTACCCTGCTCCACAGTACCCAGGTATATAGTGCCCATGCACACAATACCCATCTGTCCAGTACCCAGGTGCACACTGGCCAACTGCGTGGTACCCAGCTTCACGGTACCCAGGTGCACACTGCCCAACTGCGTGGTACCCAGCAGCTCCATGGTACCCAGGTGCACACTGCCCATGTAAATGCCCATCTGCCAAGTACCCAGGTGCACAGTGTCTAGCTGCAGAGTACCTGGCCAGGTTCAGTGTGCATCTGTACAGTGCCTATGTGCACAGTACCCAGGTACACAGTGCCCAACTCCACAGCACCCAACTCTGCAGCACCTAACTCCACAGCACCCAGATCTGTAGCACCCCACTCCTTTCATTGCCCTCACAGGTGACCAACCTCCTTCCTCTCCATCTCCGTCATCCCGAACTGGTAGTGGCCCAGGAGGAAAGGCCAAACTGCCCTGCGGATCTCGGGCTGGACACCCCCGTAGTAGATTAGCCGCAGCAGCTCTGGCTCTGGGTAAGTCTGTTTGGGAGGGGCAAAAGGTCTGGTCAATGGAGAAGCCAGTGTGGCCTGCAGCCCTGCAGTCTTGTTTCTGTGGTGAGATCCTGGTGTGAATCTGGAACATCCCCCCAAATGCCTGTGTTAATGACGTGGCCCCTAGCTAGGCACTATTGGAAGCTGGTGGGGCCTTGAACAGCTGGAATCCCACGTTGGTCCTAGGTCACAGAGGAGGAATGTGGCCCAGCCCCACCCATAGTAAGCCTCTCTGTTTTGCTCCTGCCATGCTGTCCTGTGCTGCCTAGGCCCACAGAGCAACAGGGCCCATCAGACTTAAATCTCTACAACTGTGAGTCAAGATAAACCGTTTTTCTCTCTAAGCTGTTCAGTCTGGAAACTGGTTACAGTGACAGAGAGATGACATAATACAGGAGCCTGCAGTTAACCTTAGCACAAGAGGAGCTGAACCAGACAACCCAAACCATCTACCGATGGGGCGTCAGAGGTCAGGGGAGACATGCATTGTTGCTTGGGGACCGACACGGAGTTGTAAGGGCAACCAGTACAGGCATGAGGATGGAGGGGAGGCTGAAGTGCGAGGTGCAGTGGGAAAAAAATAAAGATGTGACTGTGTCTAGGGTGAGCCTGTTTTTATGGGGTGACATCTGAAGGTGGGCGTTGTGACCCCAGCATTCAGAGCAGGTCAAGTCGCAAGGTCAAGGTCGTCTTTAGTTACACAGAGTTTAAGACCAACCAACATGAGACCTCATCTAAAATCAAATCATATAAAGAATCCAAAAGCCAGCAAGAGGAGGAGGGAGAAAAGGAGAGAAGGAGGAGGCAGGGGGAGGAGGAGGCCAGTGTCCGAGGCAGCACCTAATGAACTAGTCTATCCCTTTGATTCATATTCAATCTCATCTTGAGTTAACTTGAAGAAAATTAAAGTGAAATAAAGCAAACTGAACATTTCTAGCCGCCTCCTTTCACATCAACAACCCTCAGCACAGGAAGGGCTTCGGGGGCTTCCTGTGGTGCCCGCTGGGCTTTGTTACTTCAGGAAAAGTCATGGGAGCAAGCTTTGCCGCTACAGTGTATCCTGTAGATAATGTCAGCAGAGTTAGCAATCAGAAAATGGGTTGTGGCAAGAACGCAAAGTCTTCATCAGAAATGACTTCCTTTCTTTCATGGTTGTGGGGAGAATCCCAGGAGAGCCATCTGTATCTCGGCTTTTTTGTTCCCTTAGTTTTTATTTTATGTGCATGGGTGTTTTGCCTGAATAATACAAGTGCTCAATGAGCATGTAATGCCTGCAGAGGCCAGAAGAGGGCATGGGATCCCCGGAGCTGGAGTCATAGATGGTTGTGAGCTGCCACATGGGTGCTGAAAATTGAACCCAAGACCTCTGGAAGAGCACCCAGTGCTTTCAATGGCTGAGCCATCTCTCCAGCCCCCTCACTTGTCTAGTTTCTTGGTTTTTTGAGACAGGGTTTCTCTGTAGCTTTGGAGTCTGTCCTGAAACTCACTCTGTAGACCAGGCTGGCCTCGAACTCACAGAGATCCACCTGCCTCTGCCTCTCAAATGCTGGGATTAAAGGCGTGTGCCACCATGACCTGGCTACTTTGTAAGAGTTATAAAGTCACTCATCTCCAGCTTATCATTTCCTTCTGAGGGAATTTCAGTAGTTGTAGTCTCTAGGAGTTTGTGAGTTGTGTTGTTAGTTTGTTGGTACATACATTTTCATAGTGTTTGCATGTTATCTTCCATTCCTTTGCCTGTAGAGTCTATAGTGATGTCTCCTCTTTGATTTCTGACTGTGGCTATCTATGTGCCCTACACACACAATTGTGATTCTAATTAAGAAAGTGTTTCTCAGCTTCACTGGTCTTTCCTGAGAGGCAGCTTTATTGCTATTTCTTATCTCTGTTCTCCTCTGTCTGATCTGATTCTGCTTTGATGACTGTTCATCTTTCCTCCTGTCTTCTGTTTGCCTCAGGTTCAGTTTGCTGCCCCCCCCAAGCATTAAGATAGAAGGTTAAGTTATTGATTTGACATCTTTCTTCATTTTACTTTATAGGTAAAAAACAACCTGGACCTTTGTATGTATGCATTTTAAGTGCATGTGTGAGGTTATGTGTATGAGGTTATGTGTGAGGTTATGTGCATGAGGTTATGTGCACTATGAGGTTATGTGCATG